CCACGACGGATGAATCCGTGCTGACCCTTCGTCTATCATGTGACACATCGTCAGGGCGAGAAACCATGATCTAAGAGAGCCAGATCAAATGCACTAAATCAAGACCGCAGTGGTAATGGGGCAATCAGGCCCTTACCAAATCATGGGATGCTTCATTAAGATTGCAAAGTTAAGTACACGAAGGAAGTAACATTGCATACGCTTACGCTTAACTTGTACTAGTGTATTTGGTATATTCTTCATAAATGATGATTAATTATGGTGAAATTAAATCGCAAGTTCGGTCCTCATATTGTCAGCCCACTAGCTCCCATCGCCGCCACGTCTATCCTGTCTCTCTCTCTAATACCAAGTCTATGATCTGCCATACCCTAGTCTCTTGTGTGCCAACCCACAAGCGTTGTGGTTCAACCTTGAACCTAGTCAAAGCAAGCAGTACCACAACATTTGTGGGTTGGCACACAAGAGCATAGGAAGTCATAGGCTTGGTGTTAGAGATAGAAACAGTATAGACGCGGCGTAGACTGGAGTAGTTGGCTGACAGTAGGTTTCACAAGAGACGTGGTCTATGTAGCAAAGGCGTGACCATGAGACTTACTCTGAGGCTTTAGCCTTGAATTAGTCAGGGGAGGGCTAATAATGCCTTGAGTGGCACAGATGGGGTGGCAGGGGTTGTGTGAAATATGTGAACCAGGGAGAGGGCAGACGGATCTTACGGGGCAAGAGAGAGACTGCGGTAATATCTAGGGGAGGAGTACGTCGTGACAATATGACAGACTCTGATAAACATTCCCAGCACAAGGATGAAGGGAGGTGAGAAGGCCAATGTGGAGTGCGGAGGGTTCTCATGAAAGCTGCTCAAAAGGGCACACCGTACTACATTTAATTAAGCCAGTAAAAAATTGTGACAGTAAGGGTGTGATAGGAGGATATAGGAAATGTGAATAGGTCAGGGCAGAAGGGGAGATAACATAACAGTTTAGCACACGTTTGGTCAAATGATCGGCTTCACTTGTCTCTTTGACGAGTTGTAATATGGTGCTACGAATGGCAAAACTCACTGAATATGCCGGCGAACCGTCTGGGAATGTACCACGTCCACGGTCTGACTTTGAAAATGATTATGCATACAATGGACTCCGGACAAGGTGCGTTACTCTAAGTTTTCCTACCAATATGACCGAATTGCGATAACAATGTCAAACAACTTCTAAAATAAATTAAGCCCGAAGTGAACTATAGTTAGAATCTTTCTAAACCTTACTTTCGTTTGAAAACTTACGGTTTACAAATTCATTTAACATTAGTTTTCCTGTGCTAAAACCTCGGCAGACTGTTCTTTTTTGCGTAATACTTATCCTTACTCTAGCAGATGCTTATCGCTCAAACTATCCATCTTAAACAATATGAGCCCTTTCGCTCATTAAGCTTTCCTACTATCTACTTAACCAGCCTATAAATGACTTAAATAACAAATATGACTTTAGCAGTTCCCTGATTTTAACATTAAGCTTAAACATGGCAGGTACACATCAGAAATCATTACATATTTTATTTCTGAAGGCCAGTCTAGTATTTTGCGACACGATTCTTTGACACTTATATAATTTGCTTATAAAGTAAGTCACTTGAAGTTTTTGAAAAAAGATGCGTCTATCCAAAGTCTTTGGCTCTGCGAAATGGGTAATTGCACAAATGTCCTTTTATTAGTTAGACAGATCTCTTGCGGTCAGGAAGCATTCATATTTTTGTACGATGTTTATATATGTATATATAGCCTGAACTCCGATGTTTATCTTTGTGCGCTTAAGAATATGAGGGTTATATTATACTAGTAGGTTTTGAGACTATCAGTAAATCAAGAATTGGAGTTATAGTCACCCTAGGCCGTATAAAGTGATGAAGGATTGACAGTTGAATTTTCCCACAATGATATAAGTAGGTTTCACATTTCCATTGAAGTTCACTTAGACTTGCTTCTCAATAGGTATTCTTATTTAGAGTGTACTGCAGTTTTGACCTTTCCTCGGTCTCACCTGCCGCTCCAGCAGAATTCAAGCCGATTCATGCACTTCCTGGTCTCCTTTGGAATTCACCTATGTCCTGTGACCCACAGACACTTATGGCAATGTGTCGTGGTAGTGAAATGTTAGAATTATACGACGCACTATGAGGTTTCGATTCCCGTTATGGGTGCTGATGAGACCCAGATGAGGTCGAAGCTGCAGTCTACCCTTCATAAGAATGCTTTTTGAGGGCAAGGCTAAGTAAAATTCAATCGAATCGTGAAGCCTATCAATCGCATTGTAGGAAAATTCAACTATCATTCCTTCATCACCTTGAGCGGTCTTGGGTGTCTATAGGTTTTATTCGAGATGTACTGAGAATCTTGAAATCCTACTCAATTCGAATAAAATCTTGTAATTATTTTCTTTTTATCGCTCGGTATGAAATGAATAATTTCTTTCTCTTGTTTTTACATTCTTTATCTCTCTCCATCATCTTGTTCTTCTTTCTCCCCTTTTTTCCTGCATAAATCCTTATATTTCTTACGACATTACTTTACATTCCCATTTTTTACTTCATGCCCTTTAGTTCTTGCTCTCACTTCCACCGACAAAATTCAATTGGCCAGCATATCTAA